CCCCCAGGGGTCAGCCGGCCCACGGGGCTGCCGGCAGCTTTCGGGGCGACGGTCTGAGAACCGAAGACCAGGGAGCGGACGGGGAGCTCTCAGGAAAGGCCTCCGTGCTCGGTGCCCGAAATCCAGCCCCTTCAGGGAGCAAGAGGTTGGGCGTCTCACCCTGGGAAAGTCGTGACCCTGTCGGAGCCCGTGCCCAGGCGGCTTCCTGCAGGCGGGGACCAGGCCCAGTGGTTCCTGGGGGCCACACCCCTGCCTGCCTCCAGGACACTGTCACCGCCCCCCCCCCCCCCCGGGCGGGGCACTGCTTAGGGCCAACGAGACCCATACCCAGGTCCTGGCCTCAGGTCCGGGGCCGGGCTCACCGTCAGGGGAGAGCGGGAACATCAGGGTGCACACGGGCCCGATGGAATCCAACTTGGCCACTCCCCATTTTACAGATGGGGAAACTGAGGCCCAGAGAGGGTTTGGCCTAGGGTTGGCTCCACAGGGAATCAGAGGCAGACAAGCTCTGTTATAGCACCATCCCCCAATCTCTAGGCACTATGTTCCGGATTCTTTCTAGAATATTCTGCCCATGCTGAGGTTTGTTGGTTAGTTATTCCAGGACATAAGACCACAGTCTTCATCTCTGGGGGGTGTAGGCCCTTTCGAGACTCTACAGAAAGCCATGGACTCTCTCCTCGGGGAAGAAAAATACTCCCAAGTCCTAACTCGGAGGTCCACGGACCCTCTGTCCCTTCGCGGGCCCTTTGTCCCTTCACGGACCCTCGGTGGCGGTGTTTCCGGAGCCGTCGGGGCCCCAGCCGCAGGTCTCAGATTTCTTGGCTCTGTGTCAGGGTCATGCCCGGCTCTGGTAACCCGTCACCTGATGCCCACCCGACCCAGGGCTCAGCACCCGGCGTTCAAGGCATTTGATGGAACCATGATCTTGTCTTCAGCTTAATCTCCAGTTTCAGAGAAATCCCCACGTGGCCTCAGAAAGGTTATTGAGCAGAGAGAATAGCCAGAAACAGAGGCCTCTGCGCACCGCGGTGTCGCCTCTGGCAAGGGACGGCTTGATTTTGACACCGTGACATGATTTCCCAGAAGGCAGCTGGAGGTGCTCCGTGCGGCTGGCACGTCCGGTCTCTGGGGGCCTTCGCATGCCCAGCCGGCGGGGACTCCCGGGTCCAGGGCCTTCCGTAGCGCTCAGAGCGGCAACAGCCTGGTCCCTGGTGGTCAGGCACCGATGACTCTTAACAGGAAGCTCCTCGGTCCACAGGTCTGCGGTCTCCACACACCACGGCCCTGGTAGAGGGCTGAATGGTGACCCTGGAGGGGGTGTCTGTGTCTTAACCCCCAGGACCTGTGGCTGTGACCTTATTTGGAAAAGGGGCCCTTGAAGACGTAATGAAGGATGTAGAGATGAGAACATTCTCATTGTTCTGAGGGGCCCCCTGATGAGCACCCTTGTAAGAGACAAAGATGCAGACGCAGGGGGGAGGCCGTGTGAAGACGGAGGCAGAGACTGGAGGGGTGTGGCCACAGCCCGGGAGCCACCGGGAGCCGGGTGAGGCGATGGGTACGGCTCATGCTGGGTGGTGGGTGGGTGGGTGGGTGCTGATTTGGTGCTGCTGGGCTCTCCTAAAAGCTGACTGAAGCCAGAGCTCACCCCCGTGCGGGGTGAGTCTTTTCTGTCTCGGGAAATCCCTGATGCCCACGGAGAGGGGGCTCAGCCCTCAGAGGCGAAGCAGCAGGGCCCCCGTCAACAGCAACGTCAGGACCACAGGCCTGGGACCTGCGGGGGCCGGGCATTTATTTCACACGAGCCTCGGAGCATCCAGGTGTGTCTCCATCGTGCAGATGGGGGAACGGGCCCCCAGACAGCAGGGCCACGTCCCAGGTCACACAGGGTGAACCCAGAGCGGGGGCTCTGGGCCCCCGTCTCCGTGGCGACACTCCACCCCCATGTCAAATGCCGATGACACGAGTCGCGTGGAAGTCCCTGCCGGGAACATGGGCCCCGATCCCATGTGCTCGCTCTCCTCCCGAACCGGCAGCTCCGCCAGCGATGAGGATCCTAATTACTAGTCAGGCCTCACGCTGTGTGTGGTCACGACCCTGTGGCTCCCCCGAGTGAAAGCACGAGAGCCATGGAGCTCGGAATTCCTTCGGAGATGCTTCTAAATTAAGCCGTCCGCAGGCTGCCCGCGCCCGGAGCGGGACCTGTGATGGCTCTGGCAGGAGACGGCTTTGCTGCCTGGAGCTGAGTCGCTGGGTCAGGGCAGGTAAATAAGGGCTGGCCCCAGGGCAGCCAGTGGTCCGAGGGCCCGGCCGGCGGGTGGGGGCGGCGATACCCAGGTGGGCCAAGGCGCTGGGCCTGTTCGAACGGGCAGTGTTGCCCAGATAAGGACCAGGAGCCACCACCACGGGGGACACTGGCGAGTAAGACAGGCCGGGCGCTTCTCTACGCTCTCTGCTATAATTAACTTTGACGACAATAAGACTGTGGTCTGGGGAACTCTGACTCCATCTGGGGGCCACAAGGTCTTTCTAGAGACGACGGGAAGAGGAGGGCAAAGTGTCCTAGGAGTGGGGACCAGCCCAAGCCCTGGTGCAGGAAGAACGAGAGGAAATGTGAGCCGTGTCCAGCACGGCCAGGGGTGAACCTGAGGAGGGACGGCGAAGGATGAAAGAAGACAGACAAGAGAATACAGTTGGGACCAGGTGGATCACTGTGCCTGGATGAGGGAACAGTGACACGGCCTGTAAGCTGGAGCTTTATTTTATACGCAGTGGTTCTCAACCTTCTGGCCCTTTAAATACAGTTCCTCATGTTGGGACCCAACCATAAAATTGTTTTCGTTGCTACTTCATAACTGTCATGTTGCTACTGTTATGAATCGTCATGTAAATATCTGAGATGCAGGATGGTCTTAGGCGACCCCTGTGAAAGGGTCGTTCGACTGCCAAAGGGGTCACGACCCACAGGTTGAGAACCGCTGTTTTATAGTCAGATTACACAAAGCCAAACAAGGGCAAGATGTTTACAATGTTCTTGCGAATTTCAAATCTGCTTCTTTCCTGTTGTTGCCATTCTCTGAACTCTATCAAGCCTTGTTTTGGCAGCACTTGCTTCACCCCTCGCAGCCCACAGCCCTTAGTTACCTAGGACTGCAGGGTCGGACTACAAGGTCAAGCTTAGAACCATAGCCTTTTGGCTCTAATTGTGCTGGGAGGGCTTTGCCCTCCAAGCTGGGACATGTATGTGGCTTTGCCACCAGTCAGTCTGAGGCTCGAACCTGTCCAAACACTGTAGCCGCTCTCCACAGAAATGCAAGCAAACCAGGGTGCCCGTTAGATCTGATGAGAGATTTGTAGTCAACGCTGCCCCGAGGAATCGTAATTCCCTCCCTCCCCCTATTGGAATACAAGATTTCCAGGCAGCCAGGGTTGGGAGAGACCTTGGAGGTCATTGGATCCCTCTCTCCCATTCTGCAGGTGGAAAATCTGAGGCCCGAAGGTGGAAAGCGATTCTCCCAGGGTCCCTGGGAGTCCCGGGCAGAGCTGAGCCCTGCAGCCAGTGTACCCGTTGCCTCTCCTCCGGCCGCTCCCTGCCCACTGTGGTCCCCACTTCGCCCTGGACCTAGATTCTTGGGTTCCATTTCCCAGTCATTCAGAAGCATTGCACTTTTCTGGTCCACTTTCAATGAGCAGTGTTTCATTTGGTTGATCCTCTTAATTATTAGCTACCCTCGTCATTTCTCGAGTTTTGCTCTTGACTTCGTTAGATCCTTCTGTGAGGTTTCTCTGTTCTTCCTTTTCTGGCATCTAGAGGCGTCTGCTCAGCTAATCCCCTTCTAATCCTCTTTTTTCTAACCTTGACATTTATATAACACTAGTGACCCAGTGCACGGATTCGTGCACATTGAAAGGAAA